TAGTACCTGAGGTGGTAGCTAGATGCACTTCCTGGCACTGAAGGAATGCCGACTATCGTGCTTCTGTACCACAGGGATCATTTGCTTGGGCACCGGCTATAGCAGGAAGATCAAGCCTCGATGAATTAATTGCATTCTCTTGAATATGTTACAAAGCATCGGCAACATAGTTTGACTCACCTTTAATATGAGTAAGGTCTGTCGTGAACTGAGAGATTTAGTCCAAATGTCTGCATTCTCGTGGTGAGTTGCGGTCAGACTTGGTATGAAGAGCATATTTTAAAGGCTAATGGTCCGTGAAAAGGATAAAATTACGACCTTCTACAGAGTGCCGGAAATGTTTGATGGTACGGTAGGCTGCTAGCAGTTCGTGACAAAAAGCGCTATATCTCGTCTTAGTGGGAGTGAGGCGTCGTGAGAAAAATTCGAGAGGTTGCCAATTTCCAGATATGTTCTGTTGCATAACGGCTCCTATAGCAAGATCTGATGCGTCAACCGCTATACAAAGCGTTGCTGATGGATCAGGATGGGCGAGGAGCGTGACTTCAGCTAAAACATTTTTAATCTCTAAAAATGCAGTACGCGCGGCATCGTTCAATTCTAACTTACTTAGGTTACCGCGAAGTAGGTCGGTTAGTGGTCCTAACTGTTCTGCAGCGTGAGGAATAAAATGTCGGTAGGAGTTAGCCAAACCGAGAAAAGCCTTCAGTTCTTTGAGTGAGCACGGTAGAGTGTACTCTATGATTGTACGTACTTTGTCTTATGCTTAATGATATAACCCAAGAATTTTATTTCTGCCTAGCCCTGTTCACACTTGTCTGGGTTAACTACTATTCCATTATCCTAAAGGCGTTGGAATAAGAGTTTAAGATTTTGATGATGTTCATCTACGTTTGATGATGCAATTAGCAGATCATCAATACAGACGTGAACAAAATCGAAATCTCGTACTATTCTATCGACAGACCTTTGGAATGTTTGAGCAGCATTTCGTAATCCAAGTGGCATTCGTAGGAACTCAAAAAGGAGTCGTGACAACAGTTTTCTCGATATCTTCGAGAGTGACTGGGATCTGATGCTTTGCTCGTACCTCTGTAATACGGTACGCACCTGTTTGAGCTCGAAAGCCCATAAATTTGCTGTTGGACGAAGTATCGGTTAGCTGCAGCCTAAGTGAATCGACTAGCAGTTCATAGCGCTATAGGAAATCGATACCGAGTATGGCTGTGGGAACATCAGTAATGATGAACGTCCACAGATACTGTCGTCGACTGCTCAGGTTGACAGTTAGCTGTCGTGTACCGTAGGTACGAATGATAGAGCTATACGCAGCGTGTAGTCAAAGCATCATAGGTTGAGACATGCTGCCACCAAGTGGTACGACATAAACTTGGGCACCTGTGTCGACGAGGTACCTAGCGTTAGTGCGGATATCGTGCACGTAAAATAGGCGGCCAACCTGAGGTGATGGGCCGACGAGTACGGCCGCATTTGCTCGTCGGCTTTGAAGTTTCCCGCCTTGTATGAGCGGGGGGCTCGACAATGACGAACGTCAGACCTAAACGTCTAGTGGAACCAGCACCAACCGTTACTCACTTCTGAGGCCACCTTCTGGCGTGGCTTAAAAGATACTCGCTGGGGGCAAGTACTTGCAGCCCTTTCTTGATCGGGGGCGGGCTCGTGGGACGTGGGGTTCAGGAACAGAAGAAGGATCTCGAAAACTGGGGTGGCTGTGGTTACAGCTAGCCCGGTCTCGTTCAGCCTGAACGTGATTAGCGTCGAGTTCAACGTTTGCGAGTGACGTAGAGACAACTATGTAGTTGTCTCGCGAGCTAATCCGCACTGTTATGTTATCTGCTATGTTGGCAGCCTTGTTAATTGGCGTATCCTTGAGCAGGGCAGTGATCGTCGGCTGCATGTGAGCTGGTAAATCTTCAAGCCACAATTCTCTGACTATATCAGAGTCCTCTGTCGTGGATCCTGCTAAAGATTTCAGGCGCGTGAGGTGGTGGCTTGGTTTAGTATCACCCAGAGTGTGATGTGCGAATAATTTCCTCAAGCGTTCCTCCCTCGATGGGAGGAAATGTCTAAGAATTGCCTGTTTAAGACAGTCGTATTACTTCGTCTTTCTCACAGTCCTTAATACTTCTCTCCACTCGGTTCGCAGAAAGATGGCGATTGTTGAGGTCGACATGGTGATTACGGAGCAGCAACGGCGGATATCCAATGTTCCGCCTCCGAACTTGTATACGGCACGACATAGCATCTGCCTGAGGAATTTTTTTCACACCACGGAGCAGCGATCTTATGTATATCAGATAGCGTCCGACGACTATCTGCGTAGATGCGAATACTGCCTCCGGTGTGAACTCGAATATAACATCGACAGGTTGCTCTTCCTCAAGAGTTATTTATCTGCCCGCAAGTTTTCCTACTAGTAGATTCGGTACTCAGCAGCCTTACGAAGGATCTTTTCACGTGATCTCTCGTCACGAAAAGACCTTCAAGGTTGATGGACACAGTCAGCATTGATCGTCTCATACCAGCACACGTCAGTGACAGTGCCCTACCTGGTAAATCGAGATTTAATGCTTGACTCGTCCAACTCACTAGCGGGATCCTTCTTTTTCCTTCTGATCCCACGCTAGCGAAATCAAAGACCTCATTCTCACATCCCAGTCAGCAGCACGCGCCATCTGCACTATCTATGGATGAGATCCCGGTCTCACTTCCAGATCAGCAGACCACACCGCACTTGACTGCGGATGAGAATGCAGGATCACGAGGTACGCACGAGGCTACTGTCTCGCGTTCCGGTCGCCGCGTACGCCTACCTGTACGCTTTCTCGACTAAATACCAATCAACCACGGGTTCGGCATAGGATTTTACATTCGTACTACATGCATGCTACACTTCCCTCCCTTTTCTTCTTTTTTTATCCCGAGCCTATACCTCCGACCAATGCCCTGTTGGTACCGTCGACTTCAGTCAACCTTGGCGAAGGCTGGCCTGATCACCCACGGTCTTGTCAGTGCACTCAGTCGATTTTCTGGTTACGAATATTTCTGGTATACGAATGGTTTCGCACTGGTCGTTTCTGGCTCCTTCACTCAATCTGGTTACGTCCTACGTCTGCAGCTTTATCCGAACGCCTACGAACGCAATCCTCAGACTCTGGATACGAGCCACGCTGGTGTGGCATGCCAATCCGATAGACAAACATGGCACATCAACTCGAGCAGCATACCTGGCACGTTACTACTGGTACAGTTCAACGTAGAAGACTATCGGTGACAACTCGAGCTTCATTGGTCGCTTCCTGTTCGTCAACCCTTCCGCAGTACAACCAAATGTTGGCCGACCATCCCCCCTCGTCGAATGCGGCCGCTGTGTATCGAAAGTATGAACCCTTTCTAGGCGGGGGGTGCTGTAGTGGGACGCTTCTACGAAGAAAATGCGATTTTTGAAATGTAAACATTATTAAACTCGTTTTGTTTAACTGCACCAAAATCACTTCTACTCCTTATTGCGCGCAACGTTCTCTTCGTGTCGCCGCAATCTTTCTCTATTTGCTTCTCCCCGTGTAATGCCAACGTTCTCCTTCAATAAACAACTGATCTATTGATTTATTTTGTTTTGCTTTTCGTGAAGCGACCGTATGGAACATTTAGTGGTGAGCATAGTCAAGCTGGTATCACGCATTCGCTCACAACAAAAGTATGACACCAAAATCTGATAGGTTTCTGAAAGACAGAATGAAAGTGGATTAAGCAGTACAGCGGCATCCACTAATGCCTTGATCATACAACATCGATGGATAATATATTTCCTAAACTTGGAGGTCTAATGCTCAGTATCCGTGACGATTGACGAGATATAAACATTAGGTCAAGAATATGATGATCAGAGGTGGATGATTGGTAGCAGTGGAAACTAGGAAGCGCATCATCAGCTTGATGTTCTGAATATCAAAGTTGACGTTGGGTGAAATTTGAACCATTTATATTGGTAGTTCGAAACTTTCCCTTGATAGTTTGGGCCACAATCCTTCAGTCACTGCTAGCTACTTTCTGTCTCTTGTAACCGAATGATCATTCGGAAGCGATCCACACAGAAAACACATTTGCCGAAGTGATTGATCAATGGAAAGATTCGAATTAGCAATACAAATGTTTTAAACTTCACCCGATTACACAAGGTAGTAGCTCTCTGAACTCAGTGGCTAAGTATACATTGCTATTGCATGTGAAGTGAACGATACTGATTACTTATATCCTATAAATCTCATCACATTATTAGAATACAAATCCGAAAATCATATATTCACTTCAACATCAATTTCGATATATCATGAGTTGACTGAAATCTTATTTTTCTGAAGTTCGAAACTATGTAGGAATCGTGAGCGACTGCTTTCAATTACATTCAACAATGTCCACAGTGGAAAAGTTGCTCATAGCATAGTTCCGTTGTTATGATACAGTGGCAGATATCCAACTAAAACTACTTATTTGAAAAATGGTTCATCATGATCTTAAATCTTCTGTTTCTCATTTTCAATATGTGATCTCTATTCTGAAAGCATTTTATCGGAGTTGATTTTTGAGTTGTCAATAATGCTCGTAACGTAATGTATATATTCAAACACGCAAAATTCAGGTAGGACGAAATCGTTGGTTAACAAGGTTAGTCGCCTTATCTCATTAAAGTTGAACATAAGTATTTAAATTGTGTTTGCTCACCGCCAACACCATCGTTATTGGCTAGGCAATCTACAGATCACGAGACAACATTTTCAAACTATTCAATTCGATAACTGACTGAATCAAATCTGCGATAGATGTTCAAACAATTTTTTCCTAAAAAGATGTTACTGGACTTCTGGATACGAAGATATTAATCTGCCGAACCAAGTTTATTGCATAAAATACCAACATCCATGAACAATTTATGGGTTCCGAATGTAGTTCTCGTAACACTTCATGCTTTTATTTAACTATGGTAATAAAAGCCAATAAAAGCTCTTGACTGATTGATACTAAATGATTGGTTCACTGATTGCAAGATAATTGGTTGTATTGAGTTTTCCACGTTAGTTTTTTTCTAATACTGTATCTCATTTTCTACCAATCAACTATTAGAAAATCTACAAGTTGAAGCCGCAATTATGATTGGTTGTTGAGATTTCATTAGCATGAACGTATAAAATGTTCAGCAATTGTCCTGATCTATTTTCCGTCTCTAAATTATTATTATTTATAGCGTTTGCTAGTCACCAAACTCTACGCAGAACAATATTTCCAGTATTTTGGCGTTACAATGAAACTGGCGTTTGTATGATGAATTTGTGCATATTATAAGTAACATATTACGTTTACATAGGTAACTGGGTCAAACAAAGGCATTGGGTATAGCATTGTTGAGAAGCTTGCAGAATTTTATAAAGCATCAGGAGAATGGGATATTTATCTAACAGGTGAGTGAGTAGTTGTTGCTTGATAATGTAACAGCTCGAAATGTTGAGCTTGGTCAGGAAGCGGTGAATAAGCTCAATAACAAGGGTCTGAATGTTAAATTCCATCAACTAGATATAACGGATCCGGATAGTCGAAAAGCATTTTTAACATTTATAGAGAAAACCTATCCTAATGGAATCAACATTGCAGTGAATAATGCTGGGATTTCCTATAAAGTTGTGCTTTTTCTTAAAATTTCATATGGCATTGTAGCCTTATTCTACAGCTCCATTTGGAGAGCAAGCTCGAGTCACCTTAAACACTAATTTCACTTCGACCATTGATTTTACAGAAGAGTTCATTCCTTTACTAGCTGAAAATGCCAGGTAAGCTATCAGTGACAGTTCATACTGTTCAGAGTCGTCAATGTATCTTCTACTCTATCTTTGGTCAATTTGAAGAATCTTAGTGATGATCTGTACAAAAGGATCGTTGGGAAAATGAATCTATCTGAGTTGAAAGAACTTATGGAGGAATTTGTAAAGTAAATTTTCAATTTTGATCCAGTGTTCACTGCTTATTGATGTCGAATACCGTAATTAACTTGATTTGATTCCATAATTTCATAACTCGAAATGATTACTGTTGCTAAATATAATTGTGCAATTTTCTCAACTTTGCTTTGCCTTTCAGAATGTTAGTAGTTAATTTGCGAAATGTCTTTTTACGTCGATTGTGTTTCGTAATATAATTGACGTTTTGACAACAACTCTTGAGATTGCGGTTGTATGCCTCCTCCATGAATTAGTTTAGTGGATTCAGTTTTGTATAATTACAGAATTTTGCTGTTCCATGAAGTGTATGATTCTCTTAGTTGGTCTTTTATTCAACTGCTTTAACTTCAAACTTTAATTAGGTCTGCTGAGGATGGTACTTATTCTGAAAAAGGTTGGCCGTCAAGTGCGTATGGAGTATCTAAAGTAGGCCTGACGAAAGCTTCATATATTTTGGGTGAAATGCTGAAAGATGACCCGAGAGGCATTGTGATAAATTCGGTAAGTTCATTGTGTCGATATTTCAATGATTTGTATTTATTTTCGAATAGATCTTTTAAATCTTACGACTAGAATAGTAACAGAAATAAGAGCAGTATTTGTTGCAACTGCTGGATTGTGAGATGTGCTTTAATGAGTCTGCAGTCGGAGGCACTCATATTTTCTTCCTGATATATAAGGTTTTTTTATGATTAATGGCATGTAAAGGCTTGTCTTATTTTAATGGTTCGTTACTTCCCGATTCACATTTCCGACCCCTAAGGTTTCCCGTCACGAATAATAGTGTTATTATGTCTACAACTATGGTGTTTGAACTGACAAGTTCATCTCTCTGTGCTAATGTGTTATGGCCAATTGAACTGATGCGCGTGAGTACAGAGTTCTACGTTGCAACTGACCGTCCGACTGTAGAAGGCATATTTTATGAATAGCACCATCGAAGTGATTATCTATGATTTTGTTATTGCTTGCAACTGACTAGTTTTATTTTCAAAATCTCGTTCAATCGATATCCATGGTGATTATGGCAAACAACAACCTCCCTGACACTGAAATGAATTAAATAATTTTGTGAAGCTGGAGCTATCATTCTATTTTTGCATTTTTGTGATTTTGGCAGTGTTGTCCTGGTTGGGTTGTCACTGATATGACCGACCAGCAGGGATGGAAGACAACCGATGAAGGTGAGTGTATAACCATGTACATTTATATGTGAATATATATTTTTTCTCTGAAATTTCTATAATTTTGATAGAACCATTTACTATGAGTAAGCATGTACCAAAGTCGTTTGGGCTTCACATTTCGTTGTGGAAATTATTTGAGCAGAGTACAGCAGATTACAATTGAATAATCCGCTATGGTTAGTCATGAGATTGAATTTCGTAGGGTAGGTGATAAGTATAATTAGGCAAAGGTAAAGTCACCTCATATCAAGACATATGATTGTAGTTCCGATGTTATTTCTGAATGTTTGAGGAATCAATTTTGGTGGAATGTGTGTACTTTCCCGATACCAGTCAATGTATGTCGTCAGTAAGCAGTTCGGATATTGGTAGATTCACTGAAGCAGATTGGGTGGTTAGCAAAATTACATCAGTCACAAGTGTTTGTAGCAGAATTTGATGCTGTTTTATTTGTTGTAGGTGCTGATACACCATTTTATTTGGCCACATTACCAATTGGCTCAAAAGAACCCGTTAATCAATATGTGAAAGAAAGAAAGGTGGTTAATTGGTGCAGATGATTTGAGGAAGTTGCACAGAATGTGTTAGCTGAATTTTCTTGTGAACATTTGTAATGCTAGCGGCTTGTTTTAATGTTTGTTAAGTGATGAATCATTATGTTTCTTAGTCTAGTCTTTCTATGAATAGAACCTGTTTATACCTATGGTTTATATTCGTATTCTTACCATCATGATTATGTGTTCGACTGAACCATGTTTTATTAAAAATAAATGTTCTTTGGTTTCTTCAACTTTTTGTTGGAATGTTGTTTTTCTTTGTTGATGTATTTGATTTTGTGGCTATGAAGATGTCGAAGAGCGGAGTGAGCTTAAGGTAGGGCTGATAAGAAGCCTACGCAATGATCGCGAAGAGTGGTGGGTAGCGAAAGCAAGGTACGGAAAAGGCAGTGGCAATGTGTAATAGTAAGCAACTATTCAGACTTATCAAGCAAACCTACATTAGAAATCTGACTGTGAGTGAATGAGTGAGTGAGTGAGACTATCTCGAAAAATGATGAGCGTATTATTCATCGTCAATGCAGAAGATTGGATCGATGGTGAGAACACTTAAGGGAGCAGATCAACTGTCCTTCGGTCACACTCCACTTACCCACCATCTCCAGTCAACCTGATTGGCAGGTTCGTTCATGTCCTCCTCCACCTCCTCCTCCTCTTGACGAAGTTGAAAAAGGTGTAAATAACTGAAAGTGAGGTTGAATAGTAGGGGCTGACTGGCTTACCTCAGAGATTCTTATGTATGGTGATCCAGTTTAAGCAGTTAGATTGACTGAGATGTTAGGTAGAATTCGATAACTGGACGTAATCCCATCCGACTGGTCTCAATCGCTGATTGTCCGTGTCTGTGATAAAGGACAGAAGTACTCTTGTGACAATCACAGAGGATTCATGTTAACTAATATTGTGTATAAAATATTAGTCTCCATAATACCTTATAGACTAATTAGAGCTCGTGAAGATCAGACTTGAGAGAACCAGGTTGGATTCAGAAGTAGATGTGGATGTATAGACCAGACATTCACACTTCGTCAGGACCCAGAACACACTCATTCAAACGTCCCACAGTGTTTCTACTTGGTGAAGAATGTGACAAAGTTGCAGACTCTTCGTTTAACCTTAAGCTAAATTTCTAGTATGTTTTGGATGCGATTCTCACCCTCCAAATACATAATGTTGCTTCAGGATTTGCTTGCATCGGCAGGTGAACTAGTGATAGGGAGTGAAGTAGTTGAGCGTGTTGATCGCCTTACTAATCTGATGAGTCTCATCACTGCTGTTGGCCTGGTATCTGACGAATTCTGAGCACGTATATAAAATGTTCGATTGTCTTTTGCCAACCTGAATTACTTATGGTGTATGTGAGATATCCGTCTGCTAACCAAAGGTCGAGTCTACTGCGCATCGTTTCGTTCCGTCCTACTTTACGGGTGTGTAACATGGCCAGCTAGAGTAGTGTATATTGGTAGGTTACTAGTATTCGATCATAGGTATCTTCAAAGCATTCCTCGTATATCGTGGAACCATTGAGTAAGCGATGCTGGTGTTACGAAAACGGGTACTAGGTAAGGATGGTAGATCAATTGGTGAAGTAGTGGATGCTGATCAACTGAGGTGGTTGAGACGTGTTATGTATGTCCAACCAACGGTCACCCGAACGAGTGATGTTGTCTGATGTAGGTGTAGACTGGATGAAATCTAGTGGTGACTTATGCAAAACATGGTACAAATCCGTGAAGTTGGCAACTAGACTGATCCATGTCAGTAGGTGAGGACTAGCAGGTTGCGATCCGCAAGACAATAGTAACCGATGGTTGGAGATTGAATGACATGGCTCGAAATTGCCTGCATTGGTGCAGATGCATCCATTCCTTGCCTTGTCTCAAATTCTCATCTAATCCTTTTTCTCTTTAAATTTGCCTCACTGGATAGTTCTGGAATCATATCTTCGAAGCCTAATCTTCTCAATTACAACTAATAGTTCTCTTTCATCTACCACTATGAGACTTGAATTGGCAGTAGCATCTCTGAGCTAATGTGGTATGCCAACTTGTACGTACGGAGTTCTACGTTGATAGAAATCCTAGTAACTACGAAAGTCGCGGCTTGGAAAGAATATTACTTTTCATACCAATAGACCATGCTTATTACCTTTCACTATTTCACACGCAATTGAGCCGGCATTGATTAGACTTTCTAACGAAACAGCAAATTATGTAAGAAATAAAATTGAAGCCAGATTATTACATCAACAACCACACACTTTTAATTAAAGATGAATAATATGCATTCAGAACATTACGAAATGATAGGACAATTATCATTACAAGAGCGGATAAAGGGAACACAACTGTCATCATAAACAAATCACACTGTGAGAAAAAGGCCAATGAAGATCTCCAAGATGGCTCTTATCAACAAATTAAAGAAATAAAACAACGGAAAACACAAAAAGATTAGGGCTGAAACAAGCAAAGAATCTATTCATGAATCCTTCACAAACCACTGAGATCACGAAATCTGTAAGTCCGCCTAAAGTTTACTTGCTACATATGGATGATATTTGTGCCATCAGAAAAATTAAATGCATCGGAAAAAAAGGCTTCGAAGTGTAAACAGCATCTTTGAAAGTATCAAACTAACCAAAGTGATGGAATCCACTGACAACAAACCGGCGTTTCTCGATTACTTTTAATCGAAAGAAGACCTAATAAGTTATAAAATAATGTATTTTGAATACCACCAAATTCTGTTCGTCACAGGCTTACGGTGCGAAGGTGACAGTGGTAAAAAATCTAATTGACATTTGGTATAATATCATTGCACAGAAAGAAGACAAATAGACTGAATTTGATAAAATATTATCGACATTTCATGTCAACGCTTATCCAAAATCATTTTTTAGAAAGATTGTCATTATTGACTGAACAATCGATGAGAGAACGAGAGCTAGAGAATATGTAAACTGGCATATGAGAAATCCGTGACGATTGACGGGATATAAACATTAGGTCAAGAATATGATGATAAGAGGTGGATGATTGGTAGCAGTGGAAACTAGGGAGCGCATTTATCTTATTTGGGACTCATCAGCTGGATGTTCTGAATATCAAAGTTGACGTTGGGTGAAATTTGAACCATTTATATTGATAGTTCGAAACTTTCCCTTGATAGTTTGGGCCACAATCCTTCAGTCACTGCTAGCTACTTTCTGTCTCTTGTAACCGAATGATCATTCGGAAGCGATCCACACAGAAAACACATTTGCCGAAGTGATTGATCAGTTCCAATCCACACTACCAATGGAAAGATTCGAATTAGCAATACAAATGTTTTAAACTTCACCCGATTACACAAGGTAGTAGCTCTCTGAACTCAGTGGCTAAGTATACATTGCTATTGCATGTGAAGTGAACGATAGTGATTACGACCCCTGAGTAAACATTAACTCTGATGTTCAGAACATCCAGCTGACGTGTCCCAAAGAGGATAAATGCGCGTCCTAGTTTCCACTGCTACCCATCATCCATCTCAGCATATTAAGAAAAAGTATGTTTATACACCAAAATAATCTTGATCCAACTACTGTATATTTGAAATTAATTGGTTTGGAAATGTCAGGGATAGTCAGAATTGGACAAAGCATGTAACAAAGTCGTTTGGGCTTCACATTTCGTTGTGGAAATTATTTGAGCAGAGTACAGCAGATTTCAATTGAATAATCCGCTATGGTTAGTCATGAGATTGAATTTCGTAGGGTAGGTGATAAGTATAATTAGGCAAAGGTAAAGTCACCTCATATCAAGACATATGATTGTAGTTCCGATCTTATTTCTGAATGTCCCCAATTATACCTAACTTATTTACATCGCACATAGAATCAATCATGTTTGCCAATCACATTAAACAACGTATTTGGCTTATATATGTAGGCAAAACCTTTGTCATCACCAAAAAGACTCTCCTACAAACTTTTTCTAAACTGATCAATATTCTCTCATCCTATATCGAATTCCCTTACAAGAATGAAGACGAATTCGCAAAGCTACCGGTTTTAAACTATTTAGTTAAAAGAAACCTAAAGTGGACTCTCCATCTACGTATCTACCTGCAATAAAAACACTCTAATCGTTATATTGATTTTGATTTGGCACATCCCTCTGATACAAAAATCTCTTACTTACTTACACCTGTTACTCCAAACGGAGCATACACCACCGAACAGTATTCTCCACCGCTTCCTCCTGATTTCTTTCTCCGCTGGAATCTGGTTTGTTCTCTCCCATAGTAGGTTACTGCTGATGGCATCTGGCCAACGGATCCGAAGTATCTTGCGTAGACGACTGTTCATAAATACTTGTATCTTATGGATGATGGCTTAGGTAGTTTACAAGTTTCCGACCCATACAATAGAACTGTCCTGACATTTGTATTGAAAATTCT